CTGTCTCTGGTGAAGCCTCTCACCGCCCCTGAGCCTCTGGCCTGTACCCCAGTTCTGTATGCACAAATAAATAAATCTTTTTAAAAAAAAAAAAAGTCTGAGGCTAGCCCTGGCCCTGGCACAGTCACACCTGAGCCTCTGCGAACTAGGAGTTTGCAAGCCCCAGTGTTTGTCACTGTCTTGACTCAGGAAGGGTCCCTGCTCACACGGCTCATGTTCCCCAGGTACACCACAGAACAAGGGCAGAAGCAAGCGGCAGGGCTGAGAGGCAAGTGCTGGACTCCTACAGACAGGCGTGGGTGGGTACCAGTCACTGGAAAAACAGATGATACAGTTTCCACCCTGGAGTCACAGCTTCTGTGCACAGAATTTAAAGTGACAGCGTCTATCACGCCACATCTACGGGTCCAATTTGTCCAAGGCACAAACACACTTGGATGAAGCCAGCTATGAGCAGCAAACACTTGTGTAGCGGGGATGCGGAGATGCCTTCTACCCTGTCTGCAGTATGAGCCACAGGGGCAGCGGAGAAAGGAAGGGAGTGGAAACATCTTGTGTTTTGGGAAATACTTGTCACCCTGCAGGCAGGTAAGGCCCGCCCCCTCACTCCAGCCTGGAGGCATCATGTATCAAGTATCACGAGTGAGAGTGGAGTGGCCTTGCTGGAGCAGTTAGGCTGTTCTGCAGAGAGAGGTAATGGGAGTGTGGAAGGCCACTACTGGCTCAGGAAACAGCGGCTGGGAGTCTGACAGGAGAGTTTAGCTTTGAAGCACGTGTGTGGGCTTCCCCATTGCAAAGGGCAGGGGCAAAACCAAGCCCTAGGCCCTTCCTGGGGCAAACACAAGAATAAAATGGTGTTTGTAATAACAAATAAAAACGTTAAAATAGAGGCTTCATTCTCCCCGTTGAAGCTACCAGGCTGCTCCCTCCCTTCCCTTTCCAAGGACATAGACTTCAGAAACCTTGCTCTTTTTCTGTCTCTGAAAAAAAAAAAAAAAAAAAAAAAAAAAAACGCCTACATCTTTTTAGAAGCTAACCAAGCCTCTGACCAGCTTTATGACCCAGGAATGTCTTTCCCAGGGACCTGGGAGTCTTTGAAATATAAACATCAAGGGAGATAGCACTCCCCCTTGCCAGTTTCTGTGGGAGGGCAGGAGCCTAAGGTGGGTGCCTTGCTCAAAGTTGCAAAACTACCTGCTGCCATAAAGATGGGAACTTTGTTTTTCCCTTGCTTACGCCTATTAGTAACACAGACCACCACCAGTGGCCGTGGCAGTTGGGATGAAGCAGGTGAGGATGCCGGTCCCTTTCTTGAGGACTAGTTACTGACTGTTCAGCACGTGTGTTAAGGCTTGTATCTGCGCTTGACTGCAGAAAAGGGTGATTTTGGGGGGCCTCAGAGTCTCTTCACAATTGCTTGTGACGTGCATCATATTCTAGTTTAATGTCTATTAGACAATCAAACTGTTTTCTTTCTCTACAATTTTTTTGTGGATAGGTTTTCTAGGTTGTAAAAATTTGTTTTTAATTATATTTCCCCAACTTAGTGTATGTGCTTTAAAAGGAAAAAGAAAAAAAACTGTGGGAAGGAGGACCATACAGAATAAGACCCCTATGGGAGGCTAGGACCATTGGAAGGACGTACAAAAACAATGTGTGGTGGGGAAAGGCAGAGAATTTTCCAGGAGTGAGGCTGACATTCAGTTAGAAATTGTTTTCAGTCTGTAAAGAATAGACTAACAGCAGTTAATACATAAAGAGATTAGGGGCCTGGTATTTTCTAGCTGTTTTAAATGCATTAACTTACTCAGCACATGTAGTAGCTTGGATTATTGTACTTAAGTATTCACCCCACACACCCTGACCTTCCATACATCCCACTCCTACACTGCCCAGTGACTCTCCACTAGAGAGGGCAGAAATGGTATCACAACACACATAGAAGCAGGCTGAAAGATGGGGTGGTTTTGGAAATAGGTACAAAACAAGTTCTCTAGGCAAAAAATAAAACAGCATTGAAAGGCCAGATCCAGCTACCACACAGACTGGAATGTGAGTCACTTTATTTGGCTATTACTAAACAGAATCATCCCCCAAACTGAGGAACTTTGGACAGGCAAGTGGAAGACAACCAGCCCTGAGCACAGAACATAGGTGGGAGGAGACCTCCAAGAAAAAAGGGGAATGGCACCCAATAAGGACCAGACACTTTGATGAGGTCTACAGGTTGGAAGGCAGGATTAGAACCCTTCTTATTCCCAACCTCACTCTTATAACCAATATACTAAGTCATTTTTGAGGTTCTGGGTCAAGAAAGTGGATTTACCTTGCCCTGACACCCCGCCCCACCCAGGCCAGCAGACACATCCCCCCACACACACCAAGAAGATCTAGCAAGAGACCTGTAAGAGGCTTCATCTGACTCCTCCATCAGTGACAAAGCCTGAACCCTGAATCATCCTTACAATGTTTATAAAGCCCCCAACCAGCACTGGCTCCACAGCTGTTTCTGGGTTTCCTGTCCTGAGAGCCAGGAGGACTGAGAGCCAGGAAATGGCTGGGGGTAGGGATGGGAATGGGCCAGAGGATGTTTAAGGACAAGGGGTAAGAAGAAGTGGCACTTCATGCCTAATAAAAATTGTTTCCATGTAATTTTTGGGAGAAAACTGAATCCTGCCAGGAAAAGCTGGCACCAGGGATGGTAAGATGAGGCCAAATAAAAAATGAACCTGAAATATACTGAAGGGGAAGAGGGGTTTCGCCTGGAAAAAAACAAAAGTTCATAGGACAAACCTATGTACACTGGTGACTCTATACTGCCCCCTAACGCCGGGGCCCCAAACCATTTCTGCTTGGCTGTGAAGGTTGGACAAGGGTAGGTAGGCTCTCACTGCCCTGCCTCAGGGAAGTTCCACTGTATCTGGTGCACCAGATGTCTGCAGCAGGCTGAGGCAGAGGGGGAGCGAGTTTTTGAGCTATTGCTTTTCCAGGTTCAAGGCAGCTTGAGCACTTGGACTGTTTTTTGAAGAACTGGGTTCAAATGCAGTAGAAATCAGCAACTGAAGGAGTTACCGGGTCACACTGGGGCTAGCGGCTGGAAAACCCCTGGTGCGCTGCGCACTCTCCCGAGGCCTTGCAGAGTGGCCCTACTGCCTTTCCCTGGTGCCAACCAGGAAACTAGAAAGTTTCTCCTTCTTTGGGAAAGGACACATGCCCTCTTCCTCCTAGCTCTCCAAAATGCAAGGAGACTTCGAGAAATGGCCACATCCTTGCTCCCTCCAGCCCCAAGTTGCTTGACACCCAGGCTTCCCCTGGGGGGGTCCTGAGAAAACCTGGAACATCCATCCATCCTCTGGGCCTTGCCCAGACCAGGGCCCCTTTATCCTCCCGCAGTCAAACTCCGACCTAGAGAAGTGTTCCTTCCCCACAGCTTGCTCGACAGCTGGCAGGTTCGGGCTAGTCTGGGGCGGGGACTTGGGAGCGCCTAAAATTGGAGAGGAGGGCGGGACCCAGACCCATCTTTAAAGGTCCGGGACTGACCCTCAGGCGCCTAGACAGCCGCTGGAGGCCTTGGGCGGTTCAGAGAATCGCACAGAGCCGGCCTCCCCCCAGTCTAAGCAGCCAGGGGCCACCATGGGCATCTACAGCATCCGCGTGGCCACCGGGGCCTGGATCTTCTCGGGGTCCCACAACCGCGTGCAGCTGTGGCTGGTCGGGGCGCGCGGGGAGGCGGAGCTGGAGCTGTATCTGCGGCCGGCGCGCGGCGAGGTCAGCGGGCAGGACCCGGAGTCCCGGCCCCGACCGGGCTGGGCTCGCCGCGGGAGGGCTTCCGCCACCTGGGGGGCCGGCGGGGCGGGCGCCAGGGGTGCCACCGCACACCTGGCGGCGCCCGCGGGCACTGCCAGCCAGCCGTGCAGCCTGGGCAGAGGCTGGGCGGGGCTCAGCCCCCCTCCACCTCCCCCCGCCCGGCCCCGGCGCTCCCAGCCTCCAGCCGCCCCCCAGGACGCCCGAGTCAGTGACCGCTCGGGATCCGAGGGCAAACGGGACGCTCCTCCCGGAGCGCCGCAGGTGCCAGCTCCGCTGATGCAGGCGGAGTGGTGCCGCTCGCCCATCCACTCGGGGCCGGCGGTGCCCGCGCCCGCTCCTCGGCCTCGCGATGGGGCGTCCAGCACCCACGGCGCAGTGTCCCGAGGAGCGACGAGGGGTGCGGTGTCGGGAGACGTGGGCCCAGCGAGACCCCACGGAGCTCCCCGCCCCTCCCCGGCAACCCGCCAGCCCCAGCCCGGGCCAGGCGCCCCTCCCCGGCCCCGGCCACTAACTCTGGCCGCGGGGCTCTGGCTCCCGCAGGAGGAGGAGTTCGAGCGCCACGTTTGCGAGGACCTGGGGCCGCTGCAGTTCGTGAAGCTGCGCAAATACCACTCCCTGGTGGACGACGCGTGGTTCTGCGACCGCATCACCGTGCAGGGGCCCGGAGACCGCGCGGAGGCCACCTTCCCGTGCTACCGCTGGGTGCAGGGCCAGGACGTGCTGAGCCTGCCCGAGGGCACCGGTGAGGAGCAGGGCGGGAAAGCGGTGCCAGGCTTCGGGGGAACAGGACTGAGGAAGGTCAGAAAGGACTGGACCAAAGTGGGGCTCAGCAGGTTTAGTGTGAGGGCAGGTATCGGGAGACTGGTAATAAAATCCCAGAGTTACCAGTAAAATTTAAAAGGCTGCGAGCCAGGGAAGGAGACTGTCTCTGAAGATGTGACAGGAAGAGGAGATGCTGCATTAAGAAAAACTGAAAACCAGAGTAAATGCAGAAAGATGTCTATATGACAGGAAACAAGTTAGGGCAAAGACAGGTGAGGAGTGCTCGTGGAATAGGAGATGGTGGACTTCCCTAAGGAGATAGCCACATTAGCAAAAAACAGTGACTCTGGAGAGGAGGTCTGGCTGCAAAAACATGGAAGATAACTGAGGAGAGGGTGCGGGAGGACAGCAGATACTGAACTTGGCTTCCATGGGAAACAAGAGAGATAGCTAGAGACAAAACTGAGAACAAGGACAGCTAAAGATGAAATGTGAAGTGTGACTTCTAGACAATGACGACAAGGACAGGTAAGTGAAGGAACAAGTCAACAAATACCAACTATGGCGATAAGTCATAAGAAAAGTGAGGCCAAGTGGAGAAAGCAAGCACAGCTGGTTTCCAAGGGCTAGGAGACAGTTAAAGGTGTGGCACTTGAGATTCAAGACAGGTGAAATGAACCAAAGCAATATACACTAAACTAGGTGTGGGCATACGAGTGATTAAGCTTTTATCACCTTAATTAAGGGGATTGATGCAATCATAACTATTGATATAGGATCAGGTAGGGGAGGATGAGTTAAGGGACAGGACAGGGTAGCAAAAAAAGATTTTTGTGTCAAGGCAATGAATGGGCTGAGATAAATGAAACCAAGAGGATAAGGTTGGCCAAAGTGGGATAAATGTGTCTGGGGACTCCATTGACAGTCTGTGATAAAAGTCGCAGAGTGTGACTGACCACATGGACTACGATAATGAAAGGAAGATGAGGACAAGCAGGGGGGATACAAGACCACACAAAACAGTGTGGCCAATCTTCTTGTCTCCCCAGCACGTCTGGCAGGGAACAATGCATTGGACATATTCCAGAAGCATCGAGAAAAGGAACTGAAGGAAAGACAACAAACATACTGGTGACCACCTGTTCACAGGCTCTCCCCTATAGCCCGCCCCTCCCTGCTCCACCACTGACCTGGATAGCCCACTGAAACTCTGTCCCCATCTCCTAGCTGGGCCACCTGGAAGGAAGGGTTACCTCTGACGATAGCTGCCAGCTCTGAGGAGGACCTACCTCCAAATATGAGATTCCATCAGGAGAAGAAGCTGGACTTTGAATGGACACAGAAGGCAGGGTAAGAAAAATCCTAGAGCTTAAAGTGAAAGAAGAGCCGGGAGAACCAAGAATGATAGTGCATGGTGAGGGACCAAGGGCCAGGTGTTCATGCCTCAACACTATCCTAGGGCTCTGGAGAATGTCCTCAAGCGTGTTTATACCCTTCTGAGCTCCTGGAACCGCCTGGAGGATTTTGATCAGATCTTCTGGGGCCAGAAGAGTGCCCTAGCTGGTCAGTGGTTTCCCCGGGTCTTGATAAACCTCCTGATGCCCCTTTGATGACTTTGCACTCCATAGTGTTGCCTAATTCCTACTCCGCTGAGACCTATGGGGTCTCATCATCTCTCAGAGACCTCAAGATGGGGCTGGATTTACAGTGGTCATAGACCTGAACCACTGGGGTGGAGACTAGAGGAGAAGGACATTTGAGCTGAGGTAAATATTCTCTTTCTACACTCCACCCTCAACCCCACAGAAAAGGTCCGTCAGTGCTGGCAGGATGATGAGTTTTTCGGCTACCAGTTCCTCAACGGTGTCAACCCCATGCTGTTGAGACGCTCCGCCTCTCTGCCCTCCAGGCTGGTGCTGCCCCCTGGAATGGAGGAACTTCGGGCTCAGTTACAGAAAGAACTGCAGGTACCCCCTCCCACCTTGCCTTGCTCTCCTTGTATATGGAGAGAAGCAGCAATAAAGGGTAGAGACCAAAGATGAAGGGAGAATGTGGCAGCCAGTGCACCTACGTGTAGCATCTTGCCCTGGAACACCCAGAGATAAAGCATGTAGGGAAATCTGTAAGGAGCTCTCCTCTAACAGAGAAAAAGGATGGATTCCTAGAGCACAGAAGAGGTCAGGGTTGTTAGGGATAATTACATTTCCTGGCTAGTATCAGTGCTCTGGACACAGTGTGCTGGGTTGAGGAAATGTAGAAGAATGCTCCACCCAGCTGCAAGGATGGGAAGGTTCCCTGAAGGAGGCTGGTTTGGAAGGGATGAGCTGTGAGGATGAGGCAGGCAAGGTGTGAATGTGTTCATGCCTTTGCTGGATTCAGTGATAATGGTGGCTAGGGAAACCTCAGTGGAATATTTAGATAGGAAGTGATAGGATCAAGAAGTGAAGGCGTTTGCTGAGTTGGTAGAAGCCAAACACGAAGAACAGGGATCAGGGGAATCATGGGCATGACAGGAAAGGAGACTCACTGTCTTCACAAAGGGGCAGTTTCCAATGCTAGTAATGCAAACTGGGCAAATCCGGTTCCAAACTAAGAATAGCTACCACACATCCCTGCAAGACTTCGACCTCACCAGGCCACTGCTTCATTTAAAGCGAGACAAAATGTACCAGATGCTCTAGCTCTGCCACCAAGACTCTGTACTGATGTGGATAAACATCTTTGAACACCCCCCACCCCTCCCTGGCCCTCTGGAGCTCGACTCTGACCTTGAGCTATACATAACTCCTCCTTCTTCAGCAAGGCTCCCTGTTTGAGGCTGACTACATCCTGCTCGATGGAATTCCAGGCAACATCATCCGCGGAGAGCAGCAGTACCTGGCCGCCCCCCTCATCATGCTGAAGCTGGAACCCGATGGGAAGCTGCTACCCATGGTCATCCAGGTGGGGTGCCCTGGGCGTCCCCTGCCAACACTGTTCTCTGTCCTCTCAATATCCCCTGCCAAGGGCCTAGCTCCTGAATCTTGGCTCTCAAACTCTTTCCTCATACAATGAGACCTGTCCTTATGCCACTCTGCTCACAGCCTAGCTTCCCCTGACTCATCCAACTGGAAGGACTTGTTCAAGAGTCATAGGGCCTTTAGGAGTCTCATCCTATACCCAGCAGATCTAACTTCATTGTGCATCAGAATCACCAGAAGGACTTGTTAAAACAAAGGTTGCCTGGTCCCACCACCAGATTTTCTGATTCAGTAGGCCTGGGGCAGGGGCTGAGAATTTGCATTTCTAATAAGTTCCAAAGTGATCCTGACGCTACTATTTGGGAACACACCTTAAGAGTCACTGCTTAGGGCATCCTGGTGGTGTAAGAGTTAAGTCTCAGCACTGTAACCTCCACGTCAGTTTGATCAGGCCAGGGAGCTGACCACATGGTGCAGCAGCCCTCCCCAGTCTTTCCCCGCTGCTCCCCTCAGCAGTGTATTACACTCAATCTGTCCTGCTCTCCGCTCTGTCTCTGGTGAATCCTCTCACTCCCTGCACCTCTGACTGACACCAGTTCTTCTATACTTAAGTAAATAAATCTTTAAGAAAAAGAAGAATCACTACTAATCTGTCAGTGGCCTCTGACTCTAAATAGCTCTCTTTTCTGGAATATCTAGCCTACAGTTCTCAACAGTCAGTCAGTGTGAACAGTCAATTAGCACACATATCCGGCTTCCCTTTTCCATTTCCCCATCCTTACTCAGATGCCATTCGCGGCTTCTGACTTCTGCATTGAGGGCAACCATCAGGGCACTGGCAGGTGCCAAGTCTACTGAGGTCCTCAACCCTCCAACTAGGTTACAGCCTCCAGAAAGGGAAGTGTCTTAATTTGGTTGGTTTCTTCCAGAATGAGGAGCATAATGTCATCTGCGGAGGAGCTCAATACATGCTTAATTTCTTTTTCCCAGCTCCAGCCTCCCAGCCCTAGTCTCCCCACCCCAACATTGTTCCTGCCCTCAGATCCCCCACTTGCTTGGCTCCTGGCAAAGTGCTGGGTCCGAAATTCAGATTTTCAACTGCACGAGCTCCAGTATCATCTGCTAAACACACACCTAGTTGCTGAGGTCATCGCCGTCGCCACCATGAGGTGCCTCCCGGAACTGCACCCCATCTTCAAGGTACATCCTCTACCCTCCAGGTCCCAGGTCTCAGGGACAGGAACCCGCCTGATATTGTGACATTGCAGTAGCAAAAAACTCTGTAACAATTTGTAAAGGGGAGAAGAAAGGTTGATCCAGTATCTTGAGACTTGAACTATTAGTTAAGTCAAGTCACTTAATGTTTCTTCAGGACTTACGATAAAGGAACCCTCTAGAATTGTCAGATATCTGACAGCCCAACAATGGGTCTGGATTATAGAATACTGTTAGAAAAAGAGTGTTCTTGCCTTGGAAGATTTATTCTTTAGCCAAAAAGATGCCCAAAGAACTAACCAAAGAACATCTGCAACTAGAATTTGAAATCACAAGAAACTGCCTATAGCAGTATAGGACTGATAGAAAATGTTCCGCCCAGCAGAGGATTCTAGCAGAAACAGACCAAAAGACATGAACAGCCAAACTGTTACATGTGCCTAGGAAAGAGGAAGATGACCACATGCATTGGCAAGGTGGCTGACAGAAAACAATCAACAGTGATTTCTTTCAGTGAAGGGAGGCAACACTAGCCTCAGAATGCCTAGGTGTGAGACTGGAGCAGAACAGTCAGAGGCCCAAGCTTCGCGACACCGGGGCCCTTGCAGGTCCTGCAGAATGGGAGTGCCGTACTCACCTAGAAATGCTGTCACTTTACATTTAGTCTGTAGCTATTGCTAGGCAGAAGGCAACAAAATAAGACTTGTCCTTGCTTTAAAAAGCTCTCAAAATTTTAACCCTTTAGATACAGGGAAGATGGCAGACAAGGAACAAATTTATGAACCCAAGCAACTGTAGAAAACATTTACAATGGGAGAAGTCAGTTTGGAGACAAAGATGGGCTGTTCAGTTGTAGGGAGATAAAGCCTGACGTATCGGCAAGATATGCAACCGAGGACTAATGACAAATGAATTGTTTCCTCTGGTGGACCCCTCCGGGGACACCCCAAGGCACTGTATTGTAGCTGTGGCCTCTCTGAGTGTGGGGCAACAAAGACAAGCTGGAGATCAGTGTGGTTAAGAATACCTTGGATTTTATTGATCTCACGGTGTCCAACATCACCATGTTGAATAGGATAAGCAGCGATTTACCTTACTGACCCCTGACCAGCTCAGCCCTCTTCCTACCTGTCCCCACTCAGCATAACAGCTTCATGCCTTGGTCAACACTTGAGTCGCCACCAGGAGAGCCATGCCTGTAAATGTCTCAGATCAGCTGTGCAGGCTCTGCATTCAGACTGCTGGATCTGACCCTGACCTCAGCACTTACCAGGCACGTGCTCCTCAGTGGAGCTGTTAGCAGACAAGGCACAGCATAGCACACCACAGGCTAAACGCTACCTGGTAAGAAGTGACTGGTGCTTGCAAAGATCACTACTGCTATTAGGAGTCCCTGGGCGGCGGGTATCTTCTCTCTTCATGTGGACACTCCAGCCACTCAGCATCTTTCATGAACTTTTAGGAAAGTTTCAGACTAATGTGAGCTGCTCTGAGAGCTTGAACCTCGGCGGTGTCACCTGGGTGCTGCCCTGCGTCCAGTATCAGCTTAGGTCAATACCCACATCGCAGGACACCTGCATATAAACTGGGTAGAAATGCAGACAAAATAGTTGGAAATAAAAAGATATTCATGTGAGAATCAGAGAGCCATTTTTAATACTAAGGAAAGCTATTTTCTAAAAAGCTATTAAAGGGAAGAAGGATCTGAATGTCTCATCTGGATGCGGCAGACACCCCCCTGATGCTTCGGTGGGTAGCAGCTCCAGCTGGGCCCTCTAACTCTGACGGGGGGTCCCACCCCCAAAGCCAAGCCATGAAAGGGGCGGACAAAGGAGGGATAGCTTTGGCAATGAGAGGGAGGCTAATTTAGGAGAGGGATAGAAGTATAAAAGAACTCAAAAGGGGCTGACTCCTAAAGGATATCTACACTAACAAAAATAACTGAGAACAACTACTATTCCTGTGTACGCAAAACACGCGACACACTCATATAATCGCCAGCACAGTGCCTGAGATAAGAGACCCCATTATCACCCTTGTTAACAAAGGAGGTTAACACTTACAGGGGCTATTACCCTGGCCAAGTTCCAAAGCTCACGTCAAAGGGTGAACTGAAATCCTGTATATTTGGCCATGGAGGATGAACCAGAGGGGTACTGCGGAAAGAATGAGAATGAATGATCAGAGGCAAAGGGAGCATCAAGGGAGAGAAGGCACCAACCCCAAACACACACACGGAAAGCCCAGGCACAGCCCCCATTACCCACCCTCCTTGCTCCATCCCAGCTCCTGATGCCGCACATCCGCTACACCATGGAAATCAACACCCGAGCTCGGGCACAACTCATTTCAGATGGAGGCATATTTGATAAAGTAAGGAGGGAACGGGGTGTGGGCTGCTGCATCACTCAGTTGTCTGGGGCCTCCTGCTGCGTTCAAGACCCCAGGCCAACCTGGGTGATTGTCCTTAGACCCCACAAGCACCTCCCTTTCTACCCCCGTCTTTAAATGTGAAAACCCCACACCTGAACCCCTCATATAGTATGCCTGTGTTCTCCTCTCTTTACCCAGACGGTGAGCACAGGCGGAGGGGGGCACATAGAGGTGCTCCGGCGGTCCTTGGCTCAGCTGACCTACCACTCCCTCTGCCCTCCGCATGATCTGGCTGACCGGGGCCTGCTGGAGATCCCCAAAGCTCACTATGTCCATGATGCTTTACGCCTCTGGGAGATCATTGCCCGGTGGGTGAGAGTGGGGCTAGCATTGGAGAGGTCTGGGGAGGGGGCGAGCGGGGTTCTGGCCCGAGGTCAGTGTGGGACAGAATGAACATAGACACTGCAAGGTCCAGACGGAAGAGCTGAGATTCGGTCCTGGGGAGACGGGCGTGAGTGAGGAGTCAGTGGGGAGGGCCTGAAAGTAGGAGACTGGGTCTGGTGAGTTTAGGTCTAGTCTCTGGTGTGAAGAGAGTGAGGGACCTGTAAAAATCAAGAAACAAGACCCATTCTTTGTTAGAAAGAATGACTATCAACCTTGTATGGGGAGTTCCTAAAACCAATGACCTACATTCCCTTCCTTTCTACACTGGTGTTTAAAAAAAGTTGAGGAAAGTCCCAAAAGACCAGTCTTAAAGAATCTGTATTCAGACAGCAAGAGCAAGTTGGGTAAAGGCCATAGGAAAGAGAAGTGGAAGCCGACTCGCCAGAGGCTCACTCCCTTCTCGGGGCAGGTATGTGGAGGGGATCGTCCATCTCTTCTACCACGGGGACGATGTCGTGAGCGGGGACCCTGAGCTGCAGGCCTGGTGTCGGGAGATCACTGAGATGGGGCTGTTCCAGGCCCAGGACCGAGGTAGGACCCCTCTCCAGAGCTGGCAGTGCCTCAAAGACTGCCCAGAGCCCCTTTTCAGCCCTGCCCTTCTGAAACATGACCCCAACCCTTCGGCCACCCTCATCTCCACAGATGAAGCACCGGAATCCCACTCCTGCCTCCTTAGACAATTCTTGATATCCAGATTGTCTTCCTCCCAGGCCCTGGCGGTCAACCTTTCCTTCCATCCCCCACCCCCATCACTGCTGCCCCAGCCTAACCTGCTATTGTGTGAAGCCCAAATGGCCAGAACCACGGCCACTGAGAGACCTGCCCAGCCCTTGTAGAGCATCTAGTTCTCTCCTTGTGGTTGCCTCATGTCCTACCTAAATGGGATTTTCCACTCCAGCCCATAGTGACCCACTCTGGCTTTCCCTCTCTTCTCCTGCCTGGCACACAGAACATATAGTCCTGGGCACACTGCACCCCTGCCACAGTGCAAGGCACGTCTAGATGCAAACTCAATACTGTATATGCTTTGCTTCAAACCCAAACTCAGTGTCCTACCCTTGGGGAGGACACATTTCTTTGGCCAATCCAGTCTTCCCCCAACACCCACCCTGCCCATTAAGAACTAGCCACCACCAATATTTTATTCCCCCACCAACATTTCACATTTGATCTTGGCCAACAGGCTAAGAAGCAATCCCCACCAACATTTTAAGCTCTGAGAAAGAAATAGCCTTTTCTTGAGCTTTTCCAGGTCGGATTCCTACTTTTCCCTGACATATGTGAGCCAGCCTACATTGCTTCAAATCATCTTTCAGTCTGTTCCCTCCACTTTTCACCAATGCCTCTGCCGGTGTGCGGATAAAAACATTTACTGGGAAGCCAGGCCCTAGGGTTAAGTGAGCAGTAAACCAACATGCAGGAGGCAGCACCCCTGGAGACTCTGGATGCACTACCCTCCCCTTCCAGGACCAAAGTTTCTCCTGTCGCTCTCGGCACTGTCCCTCAGGCTGCACACGCCCCCACAAAAGACATTTCTTCTGCTCCCTGGCCAGCTTTTCCCCAAACAGTATTTACATTTAGAATTTTTTTTAATTCATATTAGCTTTCACCTGGCTAATGCTATTATTCTCCCTTCCTCAGATCTCACAGCTCACCTTTGCCTAATTTTCCCAACAGATTTTTTAGAGGAAATGTGCTACAGTTAAAAAAACAGAATCGGATGGTTGAGTCTCAGTGCTATAACTGAAAGGACCTGAGTTTGATCTCTGGCCAGGAAGCTAACCCACAGCAGACCTCTCCTAGTTTGCCTGCTGCTCCCCTTAGCATTGTATTTCAGAAAACCCACCTGTTTTGCTCACCACTGTCTCTGCCGAATCCTCTCATCTCCCGCATCTCTGGCCTATACCCCAATTCTTCTTTGCATACATACATAAGTCTATAAATCTTTAAAACATCAACAGCATGGGATTAGCAGTCAGAAACCCAAGTTTAAAGAAAGCCTCTGCCTTTTCCCCACTCTGGGATCCTGACAAGCAATTTAATCTCTGGTTTTATCTTTTTTTTTTTAGCCTATAAAATGACAGTAATTATATTTGTTCCACTTAACTAGTAGGATTAGTGGGTTTCTGAGGCCCCACCTCCATTGTAAAATGAGAGGCCTGAGGTAACCCTTATGGGAAGCCTCACTTGGCTGTGACCCTAGAAATCTATGACTTCTCTCATTCCTCACTCTGTAACTCAGATACTTGTCATTTCCAGTCTTGGAATAGAAGGAAGCCCTAAATTTTTATCACTTTTTAAGGCAGAAGATCTTTGATGATGCAGTCTTTTTAGCCCCTGTCCCCTCCACACAATAATGGTTATTGAATATTTGTCACATACCAGGTGACTTCTATATATTATGTTAGTGAAGAGATAAGATCTAACTCACATTTTACAGGTACAGAAACTGAGGTTCAGAGAAGTTAAATACTTGGCCTAATGTAACCAAACTATATTGTTTGAGCTTTTATTGAAACTCATGTCTGATGCATACTTGAATAACAGAACAAATGAACAAGCACCCATCAATTCTAAAATACAGACGCCCCTGTTAGTCTTCATTTGTCTCCTCTTATGTTGTAACCTCTAAATCCTATTCCTTTCCTGCATAGGTTTTCCTGTCTCCTTACAGTCCCTGAAGCAACTCTGTCATTTCCTTACCATGTGTGTCTTCACGTGCACTGTCCAGCACTCAGCCATCAACCAGGGTCAGGTATGGACACTGAAAGCTTAAGTCCTTGAAGGCAAATGTCTGGAGCACAGACTGTACAAGGGAAATGGGGATCCAAATCCTATGTATCAGGATCCTAGGGTTGCAATTTCTTCCCACAGCTGGACTGGTATGCCTGGGTCCCCAATGCCCCATGCACAATGCGGATGCCCCCACCCACCACCAAGGAAGATGTGACAATGGCCACTGTGATGGGCTCGCTACCTGATGTCCGGCAGGCCTGTCTTCAAATGACCATCACGTGGCATCTGGGTCGCCGCCAGCCAGACATGGTAAGAGGGCCCTCTGGAGAAAGGGAAATGACAGTTAGAGGGAAAAAAATGACAGTGAGGGCCTGGGTTCTAGTTGCTTCTGCCTGCGGAAGAGAAACTGACTGATGCTTTGTTCTTTTTCAGGTGCCTCTGGGCCATCATAAAGAATTGTATTTCTCAGGCCGCAAAGCCAATGCTGTACTAAACCAACTGAGAAAAGATTTGGAAATTCTGGAGAAGGAGATCATAGCCCGGAATAAGCAAGCTGACATACCCTATGAATACCTGAAGCCCAGCGGCATAGAGAACAGTATCACTATCTGAACCCTAAGGTGCGCCGACCTGGAAGACTTCAGAACAGCTCTGGAACTGACACTTCCACCTTGAATTTTATGGTTTCCTAAGTCTGCTGCTATGGCGCTATTTCCTCCCCTGACTAACTCACTTTAGTCAGTGTTCTACTAGCCCAGGAGACAGAAATCCTTTTCAATAATGAGCCAGATAATAAATACCTTACTCTCTGTAGGCCATAGTCTCATAATTAAACAACTTTCCTGCTATAACACAAAAGTAGCTACAGAAAATTTGTAAATTAATAACTGTTCCAATAAAATTTTATTTATGATTTTGAACTATGAACCTGTCACAAAATATTATTTTTTCAATTTAATCAGTCATATAAAAATGCCAAAAAAAAAAACCACCTACTTTTCCTTTGCTTTAAAGACATGCACAGCATGTGGGCTGGATTTGGCCCTCAGTGGCAGTACCTTCAGGTGGCTAGCCTGAGGGACTGACTCAATTCCCAAAACCTCTAGAGAATGCTGAGCAGGGGAAGAGATTACTTGGAGATTATAATTACTGCAGCTGATTCTCCTTTCCCAGGAGCTAGACCTTGTGCTTGAACTTAAAAATTCCCAATTCTGTTCTTTGGCAACTTTCCCACCATAGCTGTTCTTCCTATTCACACACATACCCCAAAAGCCCTGAGTAAGAATGGTGTTCCTAGAACAGAATAAAAGCCTTCACCCAAAATAGCTTCCTTCCCAAGTTTCAAACTAGGTATTTAAAGTTCCTCTTTCAAGACCGCTTTTCCAACCCCCTTACCACTCTGGGGTGTTTCCATGTTTCCAAGTTATTTTACACAACCCTTCTAAGAATACACACAAAATGAATAGAAAAAGAATACACAGAAAATTCTAGCCACTGACAGTGTTTCTTTATCTGGTGGAGTGTTGGAATCAAAATGACCCCTCTCCTATATGCTGTGATCAATGTCCTCACTAGACCCGGTACAACAAGCTCACTGTAAAATTGTATTCTTCAAACAACACCAGTTGCCAGAATATTTATTACATTATCAGTCCCTCACCGATGACACACACACACACACAAAATTTTATTTTGGAGACTAGCTACTCATATTTTTTGAAGCTTGTACTCTAATCAAAGGACTATAATCCGTTTTCTTGGTTTATAATAAGAATGCAGTGGCGGCCCTCCCTGGTGGCGCAGCGGGTTAAAGCGCAGCACAATGAAGCTGAAGCCACTTCCGCATGCGTTTGATCCCCACCTGCCCCGGAGGTGATCCACATGGCGTGGCAGACCTCTTCTGACCCGCCCTCTGCTCCCCTCAGCAGTGTACTTCGTTGATCTGCCTGTTCTGCTCCCCACTCTGTCCCTGGTGAATCCTCTCACCCTCCGCACCTCTGGCCTGTACCCCAGTTCTGTACAAATAAATAAATAAAACTTTTAAGAAAGAAAGAAAGCAGTGGCATTTTTTAATACTTATTCCTTTCTCCAATACATTCAGCAGGACCACACACCTTCACACCTTGTTCACTGAGTCTGCTTTCCCAGGACTTTAACCAGACATATTTTTCCTAGATTTAAATTCCAAACTTATTCAGTATTTTAAATGTATAACAAAATGTCGCTCAAGTATTTCCAATGCCAAAACCCGCAGCAATTTTAAAGTATCCTGGCAACAACAGCATATTTGGCCTTGGGAAGAGGCTCCTATCTCCTTGTACTGTGTCAGAGTATTTTTAAAGGCAGAAATGAGTGGAGAGGCGATAGATAGAGATGGTCTCTTTCGGTATAAAACCTCTATGTCTCACTTACCATTTCCCCATCACAGGACACTACCCGAAACTAAGCTACTTGAGAGGGAAAAAATGAGATGGCTCCAATCCTCTGGCCCTAAAAGCCCATCACCAAGGACCAGGTCATCCAGGTTGGGCTACTGCGGGTTCCTCGTCACGTGACTTACGTCACGTGACATGACGGCTTCCTCCATTCCAACCTGGAAAGGCGGAGACCATGAAATGGACAATACTTGTGCCCAAATACAAAGATCAATGAGTTCCAGTTCCAGCGGAACCTGTTCGGTTTCAGATACCTCCTTCTCCCGCCCAAGTCCCGAGGGAGCCGGAGGCGTCCGGCGTTCTTTATTTGGCGCCTCCCCTCTCCCTCTTCCCCGACACCCTGGTTGCGTCCAGAGGCCACGCCCCCTCCGCGGCCGTAGGGGCTCAGTCCTCAGCCCAGCGATCCTTAAGTCCAACTTGCTCAGCCCTAGGGGACTCGGGCTTCGTCTCGCCGTCTTTCCATTCGTCTCTCCACTGGGTGATCCCAGACTCTCTTCTCCATGGCGTCGCTTCTGTGCTGTGGGCCCAAACTGGCCGCCTGCGGTATCGTCCTCAGCGTCTGGGGAGTGATCATGTTGGTGAGGGGACTGCCCGGCGTGAACCGGAGAGGGCCTGAGGGGTTTGGGCGTTGGAGGGCTGGAGGGCTAGCGGACTCCAGGCCTTCCTTAGAAAGCAGTAGGCAGGCTGGAGCGGCTGCTCAGTTGCCGCTGGAGAACGAGACAGATCTGACATTGAGAATGGGGAACTAGAACGGGGCGGAAGGAAGGTGGTGCTGGAGGCTGAAATTAGATTCTGGGCTTGTAAATATGAAGGCCCCAAGTCTACGTCCAAGGTACAAGGAAGGGGAGCGGGGTTCTAGGGAGATGCTTGAGCTGAAAGGAAGGCAGTGGGAGAAAGAGGCGCTTGTTGCCCCGGAACTCTACCGCCTCCCACTTCGGGAAGAAATTATATGAAGTGCCGACCCCGCTGACTCTGCCCTGTCCCATGATAATCACGCTTCTGGAGCGGAGGCTAATCAGGGTTCCTCAATTGCTCACTATTCCTGTCCTTGCCCTGTCGTTTCTTTTTCACCAGCTCACACCTTATTCCAGGTGATTGAGTCCTAATCCAGCATCAGCCACTCCAATCCCAGTTCATTCTGGTAATTCTTAAACTCTGTTGTACCAACAGTTATAAGCAGGAGTTGTTTAGGTAGTGACCTGAATTCATCTAGGTGACGAAGTTCAACAGCCTACCAATCCCTTTTCAGATAATGCTTGGGATCTTTTTCAATGTCCATTCCGCTGTACTAATTGAGGACGTCCCCTTCACGGAAAAAGATTTTGAGTGAGTATGCAGGTGGGAAGTCATGGCTGGGGGCTGGTGGCAAGTGACTGAATCTAGGTGGGAATTTTGAGCACTATGTTACAGAAGGCTGAATGCCTGGGGGCCCCCAGGCTAAGGAACTGGGTGTGGAGAGCTGCTCTGTTTACCGTTAGGAGCGGTCTTGGAAGTCAGACCTCAGCAGTCATCCTAAATCCACTACTTTGGGTGTGATCTCTAAGATATTTTACTTCTCAGTATCTGATCCACCACTGCAAAATGGATTCTACAAGAGAACTCACCCCACAGGGGCGTGAATAATAATAAATGTGCTTAAGGGCAGAACCTGGCCCAAAATAAATGCTAGGTAAATGATGGCTGCCGTTAATATTTCTGACACTTCTCTGCCTAATTCCCGCCCCTTAGGAATGGCCCCAAGAACATTTACGACCTTTACGAGCAAGTCAGCTACAACTGTTTCATCGCCGCGGGCTTTTACCTCCTCCTGGGAGGCTTCTCATTTTGCCAAGTTCGACTCAATAAGCGCAAGGAATACATGGTGCGCTAGAGCATGGTCGCGTTTTCCCTCTGCAGTCCCTTCCTCTATTTAAAGACTCCCCGCCCTCACTTTCCTACCCCCAACTCTGGGACCCTCCGCGGGACTGGGGTTCCCTGGCGAGAGACTGAATCCTTATTCTCCAATCTGACACCGACCCCTGGAGGGAAGCTGGGGCCTTGTGCGGTACCACAATAAAGAGATACGCTCTCTTAAGTCTTGTGTCAGTGCTTGAGGGAAAGGGGGTCTGGTCGGGGCTTGGAAAACCGGCCCGGAACCGGGAGACTCGACCCCAGGACGGAAGTGGAGTGAAACTGGGCCGGAAGTGAGGCGGTATCTTCCACTCATTCCTAGTGTGCGCGGAGGCGACATCAGTGACTGCGACTGGCAAAGCTGTGCGCCGCCGAGCTTGAGCCAATCAGCGGCGGGGAGAGGCGGGACTTCCTGCGCGGGAGTCGGAGCGGTTCGGTCGCCCGGCTCTCCGTGGTCCCGGCTCGCGTGGTGGCGGCGGCGGCAGCGTCTCCGTGAGGAGGCGCGCGGGGACATGACGTCAGCGTCCACAAAGGTTCGACCTCCCTCGCGGACAGCGCTCCCTGGCGGCCACGGGAGAGCGGGTCCCCCGGTTGGCTTCTGGCTCTTCCGCCCCGGGCGGGGGGCGGGCAGGAGCGGAGCCTGGGGTGGGGCTAGGGAGTCCGGGCGGGACGGCGTGGGGGGTGTGCGCCGGCCCCCCCTTAATGCTGCCCCGCCCCCAGGTCGGGGAGATATTCTCCGCGGCTGGCGCCGCCTTCACGAAGCTCGGGGAGCTGACGATGCAGCTGCATCCCGTGGCTGACTCTTCCCCTGCGGGGTACGTGATCCCGGGCTGGGACGTGGAGGCTGAGAGCGGACGCTTGGACTCGATCACAGACATGGACACTCTCTAGGGCAGGGACAGATGTTAGTTTCCCTTTTTGCCTAGCGAAGCAGAGTGGGTCTTAATAAATGATTGTTGAATGAATGAATGACATTAAGAACACTGGCTCACTACACGGAATCATTAAACAGCTCTATCCAGCTGTGAACCAGCAGACCCCAACTGCCACTCCCCAGCCAACCCCCAGTGCCCAACCACCCCAAATCGTATGGAATTCCCTGAACTGCTGCAGCTATGTTCAGGGGTTCTGTTCATGAGACCCCTACTTGTTAAACTGGTTTCACTGGACTGTTTACAGCTGTTCCACATTGATGGGGGAGGTATTCGAAGGTGGTGGTAGTTGCAGTATGATGTGGTTGAGTGTCCTCAGGATTCCCACAGGCCCCTGAGTTATTTCTTTCCTAAGGACGACCTCTATGGATTTGTGGAAGGGGCCCTAGAGATTGGGGGGAGGAGGCTGGTTGCTGTGGCATGCTTAGCCTTTGGGCTGGCTCCACACCTCTCCTTCCACTTTGCTATCCCCCTTTCCCCTCCTGACAGTGCCAAGTGGACGGAGACGGAGATAGAGATGCTGAGGGCTGCTGTGAAGCGATTTGGGGACGATCTTAATCACATCAGCTGTGTCATCAAGGAACGGACAGTGTGAGGGAGGGTTGGCTGGCAGAGAAAGGGGAGGGGGGCAGCTTTTTCCCTTCAAGCCCATTATTGCATCTTCCTCCGAAAGTCCCTGCTCAACATCTTTCCTAATCTGTTGATAGTTTTGTTAGCATTTCCTTGAGTGCTGAAAAAATATTATAAGAATGGCCATACTGGTAAGAAGTTGCTGAAAGGCTATGTTAATCAGAACCTACCAGTAGCCTGCGTTGCCAGGGATGATCTTTGACTGTGATAATGGGAGTTCCCTACTTATTTATATAGATCTTTGGAGACCTGATGTTTCCAAGGATGTGATTTTTGAATTAGCTGACCGGGATACACTAGGTTTCAGTCTGCCTGTAGATCACCAGTGTTTACCTGGTAGCTGTCCTTACCCATACATCTCTCCCAAAAGAGAAAAGGATGTGGGCCTTTCTCGCCACTCAGTTTAGGAACTCTATACTCTTCACACTGCAGCTGCTCTTAAGTAAGTACAGAGCTTCAGGAAAAACAGAATCTTATCAAAGCTGAACTCTGATTAGAGGCCCCCCAGTATTCCTTCAGAGTGGCCCATTATTCCTGTCCTTCCACTCCCTTCTTCCCTCAGCCTTTCCAAAGACTCCTTTCCTAATCTGGTCTCCTCTCTTCAGGGCTCAGATAAAAGCCACCGTGAAGCGCAAGGTATATGAAGACTCTGGCATCCCCCTTCCAGCTGAGTCACCCAAGAAAGGGCCCAAGAAGGTGGCATCTGGTGTCTTGTCACCTCCTCCAGCGGCCCCTCCACCCAGCAGCTCCAGTGTCCCTGAAGCTGGGGGGCCCCCCATAAAGAAACAGAAGGCTGGTGAGGGCTGTGCAGTTGCTGCCTAAGGGTCAGAGTTCTGTCTGAGGTTCATTGAGACAGTTGGGTGTGGGTCAAAGGGCAGATCTCTCTTCTATTAGTGAAGGTTCCCAGAGGGGCTGGGGTACAGGAGGGAGAGAGCTCAAAGCTTTGGGAGACTGGGAGTAAGTCAGGGAACCTAGAACCTAGCTTATGCCCCCTGCCCTCAGATGTGACACTCAGTGCTCTGAATGACTCGGACGGCAACAGTGACCTGGTGGATATTGAAGGACTAGGAGAAACTCCTCCTGCCAAGAAACTCAACTTCGACCAGGGTAGGAGTCCTCCTCCCCCTACACAGCTGAAGGGCAGGAGAGGAAGTGCTCACTTGGATGGAAGGGGAGGGCCTCAGCAGGACACATCACTCTGTGCAGGGACTTTGGAAGAGAAGCTTCTCACACACAGTGCAGGCGGTCAGCTCAGGAGGGCACGAGTGCTTTGGGGAACACACTTTGGCTTGCTCCATCGCTGTGCATTTTACTCCTGTTCCAGACAGCCTGACCCTGGATTCTGGCCCTCTCGTGACCTCCACTGACCCTCCGCTACCCTCTCGATGAGCCTTCCATCTCCGACCCCTCTCACTGTTCACCCTGGACCTGTGGATCGCCTGTGACTGAGCAAGGCCTGTGTGAGAGAGTCGAAAGGCTGCTGGGGCTGTCGTCCTTGCTGTTCCCTGTACGAGTGTATGCCCACAACCCCACTGACTTCGATCTGATGGACATTTTTATACAGAAAACAATAAAGATATCCCTCTCAGCTCAGTGCCTGCAGCCTAACATCGCTGGAGTGCCTACATGGTTCCCTCTCTTTCCTTAGCCTTCCGGGGGCCCAGCCCCTGTGGGCAGCTCTGACCATCCTGCCTGGAGCAGCACAGCCAGTATTGGCAGACTCTCTTCCCAGTGCCAATATTTCTGTGCTGCTAGAGCCAGGGAAGCTGGGTATGGGCAACAAAAAATCCACTTTGCTCTCTGGAGGCAGAACTTATTCTCAGGGTCTCTGGCAATCAGTATTCCTGAGATTACCGTGGGAGTTTTAGAGCGACCCAATGCACTCACACCTCTCTTTGCCCCTCCGAGCAACCTCGCAAGAAGTTTGTCACAAGGCCCAGATGTTTCTGTGTTGCTTCTGCAGGGTGGCCTGTCAGGGCCAAAGTTCAGCGGTGCCTCCCCCACCCTCGCTCTAACACCACAGTGTGGTTTGGACGTGGCCACAGTGCCGTACAAACCACAGTGTGCTGCTGGGGCGGGAGCAGGACTTGGGTGGGTGGAGAGGAAGGGAGCACAAGACTGTTGTGAAGACCCCATCACCAAGACAGACCCGGCCTGAAAGGCAAACATGGCCCTGAGAAGGGTTGGGGGAAATAAAGACACCAGGGCTAGAAGCTGAACAGACACTTCTCAGGAGGGAGAGGGGCCGATGGGGTGAGCCCTCAGCGTAAGACTGGAACCATCTTCCTCTGTAGGAGCTCCACTCAGGGAATCCCTAGGGTGGAGTGGGGCGGAGGAAACAGGGAATGACTGGGGGGACCAACACTGCCTCCCGACTCAGCAGGGGCAGGGACCCACAACTTCCTGCTTTTGTTCCTCCCCTCCCTGGGTCAGAACCCAAGAGAAAGCTAGGAGAGACAGAAGGCCAAGGACAGCAGAGTTGGGAGTTGGCAGTCCAGAGGTGGTGGGGCCGGAACATGGTTGGGAGAGGGGGGCCGGAAGTTGCCCTGGGCCTGCCACAAGATGGAGGCCAAAGGCAGGAAATGGAGGCCAGGGGGAAAGGGGAGCAGGAGGACCCAAAAAGAGAGCCATCTGGACCCTGGGGTCCAGGTGGTCAACCTCCAGTGCTGTTCCCACTGTCCTTGGCCCCCTTGGCCCCCAGGACCTAAGACCCATGCCTGCAACAAGCCCCACCAGCCCATCCACTAGGCTGAGGAAGGCGGGCCCACCCCCAGAGAGCCACGTTTAAACTGAGACAAACATGCCTCTCCCCACCCCCACCCTAGGCCTTCCCTCAGCCTTTTTCTCCTGTCCAGGACTTAATTTTTTAAAAACACCCCCCATAAAGCAAAATCCAAGGGCCAAAATCCCTTCTGCAAATCAAGATAATACCCTCTAAAACCCAAGAGTTATCCTTCCACTTCTACCATCACCCCCCTTCCGACACACCCCCAAAACTCTTAGCAATCAAAAAGATGGTGGGTATAAGCAGTCTTTTTAGGCCCGGACGAATGCCAGACCCCCTCCCTCCAGACCCCTATTTACCCTGTCAAGGACTCTGCACCTCACTCCACCCACCATCGCCCCCAAATTGAACAGCTGCCCCCAGCAACCATCCTCGGCAGAGCCTTTGTGGGGATGAAACAAATCAGAAACTATACTAACAACTGTAGATGTTGGGGGGCCCTCTGGACTCAGTCTTTGGTTTCCATCTGGGGGACTGTAGTTCAGGGGCATAAAATAAAGCCTTGCCAATCATCCCCCCACTTCCAAGACTGACAAAGCCCAACCCCACCCCAACACGCACCTCCAAACCTCCCCCCCAACCGCCACGTCTCTCCTGAAAACAGGGGACACTTTCCTCCCCACTTACCTCAGCTACTCTCCCCTGAGATCCTGGTTCCCTATTTTGAAGGGAGCAAAATTTGGGGTGCATCCCTCACATTTGGGGTGCAGGAGAAAGGAACCACCCCAGTCGCATCGCTGGCCTCCTTCCTCTCGGCTGGCTCTGGGAGTGAGGAGTGCCCTAAGGATAGGGGACCCCCACAAGAGAACTAAGGAGGGGGTTCCTCCACTCCCAGTCAGAATTGGGGACACCCCCCAAAACTCGTCCCAGCCCATCCGTCTCCAACTCGGCGGGAGAGGCAGCTGCAATGCCCCAGTCAGATTCCCCCAACACTACATTCCTCACCCCATCTAGAGGGGTCCTGGGGGCCCCAAAAAATCCCCAAAAAATCTAGGATGTTGGCAGAACAGTCCTGGACTAGCTCCCCAAATTTGGGGTCCTCAGATACCCCCGTTTTTTCAGGAAAATTCCGTCTTTCGCCTGCCTCCCGCCAGCCCTGCTCTGTCCCGATGCCAATTTTGGAAGTCACTCCCTCCTTCCTCCTCCCGTCTCTCCAGGCCCCCCCGCTCAGGGGCTAGGGTCCAGGACACCTGGCTTCCAGACCCGGGGGACACTCCTCGAGGGTCTAGGGGCCAGGAGGTCAAACTCATAGCCCCAGTCTTGGGGAAGCAGGAAAGCCCGATCCTCCCTTCCCCTCCCCCCTGGCTGGTCTCCGTGGTGGTTTAGGAAAGCCTGGAGGATTGGAATCTGCCATTGCTGTTGCACAGGCAGGTTTTTTTTTTCCTTGGGTTGGGGGGGTGGGCGGTGGGAGGGAGAGAGGGGAGGAGAGCCGAAGAAAGCCGGGACCCAGGGGAGAAGAACTGGCCTGGTTTACCCCCTAGCCCCTGCTGCCTTAGTGAACCCCTTGTTCCGCCCCCTCCCCTCCCCCCCCCCAGTATTACTCTCACTCTCAGTCCTGGCTTGCTTTCTGTTTGGGGATCTTATGCTAGAAAATTAGGGTACAACAATCATCCCCTAGCACCCCACCACCACCTCTGGAGGCTGGTGCACAGTCCTGGTCTGTGTTTTTATCACAAGACATTCCATTTTCTCCCACCTTCCCCCAAACTGAGGTGGGTTCCCTGAAGAAACTGGGGTTTGGAGTCTAAAACCAACTTTTCTTCCACAGATATATCCAGGTCACATAGAAATAAGAGGTGATAATTTCCCTTTCAACTTTCTTCCTTCAAGCCTTGGATTCATTTAGGGGTTCACTAAAATATAGATTTCTATCATCTGAAGTGAGAGAATGTCATAAGCTAAAGACACCCCGAACTAGCATTGTAGTGCACCCCCAAATTAGTCTTACCTTATGACCCATCCCTCAAACTCACCAAATGTACCCAAAGAGTGACAAACCACCCCAAAATAAGGACACCCCAAAAGTTTATTCTCCTACCCTTAGAGTCATCACCTTGTTTCTCCCCCCAGTAAAAGTTCCTTGCCTTTCCCTGTATACATGCAAATGAATCTAAGTCATCACAACATTCAAAAAAACTTTCTTCCCTTCAATGACCCACAATTACAAAAGAACCTCAAACTTGCGTCCAGATTCCTATTATGCTTCATATCAAGATAATTTTTAAAAGCTCCAAATTGAATTTCATGAGGTCCAAAATCTAATCTGAGCCTTGAAACTTATATGGTACCAAAACATACTGCACCCCAAAATCAGCATGAACCCTCTACTGGAATCACAGTATCCATATGCATCACTTACTATGAATCCTCAAAGCAAAACCTTCCTCTACCTTCCAAAGAACAACTAGCAGTTTCTCCCAGCATTCCAAGATGACAAGGATGGGTACAGCTACCAAACTGAGTGTCAGAGACCCTGCATGAATGTAGCTTCAAACTCAGCTCCATGCCTCACCCTTACCACTGGCCCTCAAGCCTAAAGGCAGCTTCCAGTGTGCAGAACAATCAAACTACCTCAATACCCCATAGTAAACATGCATCCCACAACTGACTTGATAGCAAAACACACTCCAGCCTGATAGCAAAGGGAACCCCTCCTCCCATCCCCACCTCCAAAGTAACCCTCACATGCCAAAACCAGCCTGAACCTCAAGTGTCCCCAGTTCCAGTTTCTCAGTACTTCCTCCATTCAAATAAAGACACCCTCAGACATGAAGCAGAGGGTGCCAGGCCATGGAGCACCACGGATCCTGGCCAATCATTTCTGGGCAACCGTAGGACCTCAGCCCAAATGCAAAGAGCCCCTGCTTTGCAGCTGGTCTCCCTTCTCCAGATGAACCTTGGGCTCCCCCAACATCTCCCCAAACAAAATATGAAGGTATGACCCATTCCTCTCTCAGTCCAGATCAGGGACTTAAAATTAGGAGTTTCTCCCTTCTTTGACGCTGGAGACCCTGCCTGGTAGTTCTTCCCCCTCACTCTGTTTACCCCACCCAACTTTCGTACTAGTGTTCACTAGAAATTCACCTCTAACGACATGTGGACAACAGTGTCTTAAATCCTGAGCTCAGACCCTGCTCCTGGTCCCACCCATTTCCCTTGCTCCCAAAGCCCTCGTTTCTCACCACCAGTAGAAACCCCAGCCTCAGAGGAAATTACCTTCTGTCCCCTCACGCTCCCTCCCTCTGCCCAACTCTAGTCTCATCCTCGAAGACGGAGGGACAAAAGAAAACGGCGCAACGGGGAAGAGGATGGAGGTTTCAGCCGCCCAGACCAAAATCAGTCCCGCGGCGGCCGGATGAAGGGACCCCAGGCAAGTGAAAAAAGCCACTGGGTGAGGCGAGGCTAGTGCTCGTCCGCCCCCTCGTGGAAGAAGCCTGACATTGCCGAGGGTTGCCTACTTGCCGCGCCGGACCCCGGCGTCCCGCCAGCCTCGGAGCGTAGCCGACCGGCGGGTGCCCAAGGCCCTAGTGAGCTGGGACCGGGAAAGGGCGAGCGGGCTTGGGGCGGGAGTATGTCTCTCTGGGTCCCTCAAAGGATTTAGAAGGGAGTCGAGAGGGACAGTCCGACGCCTAGGTCTCCAGAGCGTCTGTCGGCCCTCCACCCGGGGCTTTCCCCACCTCCTCGCGGGGGAAGCAGCTGCCGGAGCCGTCCGGTCGCAGGACAATGGAAGGAAACCAACTAGAAATCATATCCGCCCCCTCCCAACCCCGCCCGGCCAAAGCCCCCCTTTTTGTGGGCATGGCTAGAAGAGGCTGTCATTCACACCACACCCTCCCGCTCTCTGAGACCCCACCGGAGCCCACTAACACCTCTCTAAACCTGGCACCTCGTCGGGGTCCCCCTGACTTGCCTTAATGCAATATATTGGAAAGGGGAGTGCTGCTGTCTGTGAACAGGCTCCTAGCACCCCCTTCCAAAAGCCAGCACACCAATTTTCCCTGTCCCGGGTCCTCCGACGACCCAGGTCACCCATTTTTGCCACCTCCCTATTCCAACCTCCGCCCCTACTCCAATATGCCACCATCGGTTCCAATTTCAGTGGCCAAACACCCTGCACGTTACGACCACCCAGCGTTTGAGGTCCCGCCCTGGAGCCGAAGACCCCGCCCCGGGCTCGCCATCTGGAGAGCGAGGGAGGAAGGAAGGATACAGACCCAGGCGTTCACCCCACCTCCACCCCCGCCCCCGACATCCCGGCCAGATAAAGGAGCCGAGGCCAAGAGGGGAGCGAGACCCGCCCCCTTGAGAACAGAAGCCGCAGCCCCTGCAGGACGGGGGTAAGCACGAGAGACGGAGGGAGTCAGACTGCTAGGTCCTCGAGAAGGATTGGGTTGATGCCGGTAGCAAGGCAGGTCCAGAGGTTGGGCTGATCGCGGGACCTGAGACTAGACAGGTTCGGGAAAGGGAGCTTTGACTGGGATGTGCGGGGGTGCGGACTGCTCGCCGTCGAGTCTCCAGGCTGATTCCCACGGCGGAGACTCGGGCGCTCTGGGAGGCAGCGGAGAGCCTGTGCGGATGCTGAACCGGCGCTAGGAGCGGGCCGACTCCCACGCCAGCTATCGACGCCAGCGTGGGGGAACCCTCCGCTAGCTTTTAGCGCTGCGGCATCTAGTGCAGGAAAGCGAGAGGTGGGGTGATAGAGGGCAGAATGAACAAGATGGAATAAATGAGACGGGTGGGACGGGGCCGGGGGCTTGGCTCCAGCTGCAGCCTCAGGAGGCAAAGGAAGAAATCAGCTGAAGAGAAGACAGTTTAGGATTGCCTGGATCCCTGAGCCCTTCCCTTGGCGCCCGCAGGCCTGCGTCGCCATGGGTTCCACCGCCCCCCGGGAAGGAGCCCTGGGCTATGTCCGCGAGTTCACTCGCCACTCCTCCGACGTGCTCGGCAACCTGAACGAGCTGCGCCTGCGCGGGATCCTCACTGACGTCACGCTGCTGGTTGGCGGGCAACCCCTTCGAGCTCACAAGGCTGTTCTTATCGCCTGCAGGTTCGAGGGATGGCTCCTGGGATGGGTGGGACCCAAATGGAGAAAGGATGAAGCCAGAAGGTCTTTGGGAGGGAGTCCAAAACCAAGCCTTCCGGAGACTTGAGGTGGAGCCTGCAGGAATAGGGGGGTTGAGAGGAATGGTAGGAAGGAGGCGGGGCTTCTATGGGGCGGAGCTTTGTACAGTGATGCATTTTCCAGTGGTACCCCCCTCCCGCCCCTAACATGACCTGTCTGCTCTCTCTCCAGTGGATTCTTCTATTCTATTTTCCGAGGGCGTGCAGGAGTGGGTGTGGATGTGCTTTCCCTGCCTGGGGGCCCCGAAGCCGGTGGCTTTGCTCCTCTCCTAGATTTCATGTACACTTCACGCCTACGCCTCTCTCCGGCCACTGCACCTGCGGTCCTTGCAGCCGCCACCTACTTGCAGATGGAACATGTGGTGCAGGCATGTCACCGCTTCATCCAGGCCAGGTGAGGGAGACACTGCTGGGTGTTTTACATGGGTGTGATGGCATCCCAGGTGTCAAGGGCAAACGTCTATGTCGTCGGATATAGTCCGCCTCCCTGGTAGCAGAGGGATTAGAGACATAGTGCTATCAAGCTACTTCCAAGACGAGTTCGATTCCCAGCCGGCCAGAGAGCTAGCCCACATGGCACAGCAGACCTCTCCTGTCTCATCTGCTGCTCCCCTCAGCAGTGTATTTCAGTAGATCTGCCTTTTCAGCTTCCCACTGTCTCTGGTAAAACCTCTTACCTCCTGCACCTCTGGCCTACACCCCAGTTCTTGTATGTGTAAATAAATAAGTTTTTAAAAAAGATTAGGATATAGCACTAATGTCCATCACACTTTTCGCAGCTATGAACCTATGGGCATCTCACTGCGGCCTCTGGAGGCAGAACCTCCCAGGCCACCAACGGCCCCTCCACCAGGAAGTCCCAGGCGCTCTGAAGGCCACCCAGACCCACCTACTGAGTCTCGAAGCTGCAGTCAAGGCTCCCGCAGTCCAGGCAGCCCAGACCCCAAGGCCTGCAACTGGAAAAAGTACAAGTTCATCGTGCTAAACTCTCAGGCCTCCCAAGCAGGGAGTCTGGCAGGAGAGAGGAGTTCTGGTCCACTTTGCCCCCAAGCCAGGTTCCCCAGTGGTGATGAGGCCTCTAGCAGCAGCAGCCACAGCAGCAGCGAAGAAGTACCCATTCCTGGTCCCCAGACCAGGTACAGAAACTGGAACCCCCTCATATATAGGAGGCACAACTGTCAGACCTGGGTGGTCAGGAGCAGGGAGTGAGGAGGTGGGTTTCACTGACATTAGCCCACACGGAGTTGGCTAAAGCCAGCCTTCCACACTGAGGTGGGTCTTCAGCAGCACAGCTGGGCACAGCTCATTGGTCAACATGGCTCACCTCTAGAGAGTAGAATTGGACCCCAGGTTCTCCAGGCATGTTATTCTCCATATAATCTCACCTAACCCTTTTATCTGGACCTTGCTATCTGCTTAGGCTCTCTCCAACTGCTACTGCTGTGCAGTTCAAATGTGGAGCTCCAGTCAGTACCCACCATCTCCTTACAACTCAGTCTCAAGAGACCAATGGATCAGCCTCTGGGCGAGCTCACCCTCCACCAGGTAAGAGACCCTTCCACCTCTAACTTGACTTTTCTCCTTTGGCTGATCAATGTCAGTTTGAGCCAAATGTCCCCAAGAAAGGTCTAGTTTAATTCCTGCAAGTTAGAATCAAGTAAGGAAGTTTTAAAAAAAAAAAAAATCCCATTGTTCAGGAAATACCCCATAGATCAGAATGTCTGGAAGTGGAAGCCAGGCATCCATATTTTTTAAAGCTTCCAAAGAGCAGCAATATTTGGGAACTTCTGGCCTTGTCCCATCCAGGACTAAGAGGTCAGTCCAGGGCTTGGCAAGGCCGCTCTGGCAAACTGTCATCCAGAATGGTGCAAGAGAGGAGAAAGAATCAGACCCACTAAAAGGGACCTCCACCTCACACCACCACCATGAAGAGTTCTGCATAGTTTGGAGTAAGACAGGCTGGAGTCAGATTCTAACTCAAAACTTAATCTTGAGCAAGCCCAATGAGCCTCCAGAAACCTTAATAGTAAATTGGGGAACAGAAAATGGGCTATTGTGAGCTTTGGGGATTCCCTGGTAATCACTGGTTGTCATTACCCACCCTTGCTCCCAGGATGTGAATTTTTCAGCTGCCAGAACTGTGAGGCTGTGGCTGGTTGTTCATCTCGGCTGGACCCCATGACTCCTGGGGAGGAGGACAAGCCCTACAAGTGTCAGCTCTGCCGGTCTGCCTTCCGCTACAAGGGCAACCTCGCCAGTCACCGCACGGTGCACACGGGTAGGGAAAGAGCAGGAGGGAGTCAGCTCTGCCTTGGAGCCCATAGGTCCCTGAGCCCTCTTCCCTCCTGCCTGCAGGGGAAAAGCCCTACCATTGTTCGATCTGCGGAGCCCGCTTTAACCGGCCAGCTAACTTGAAGACCCATAGCCGCATCCATTCTGGAGAGAAGCCCTATAAGTGTGAGACGTGTGGCTCGCGCTTTGTACAGGTATGGAGCCAGTCACAGAGCCCGTTCAAAGGTGTGTTTGTCTTGGGGCGAGGGTTTCTGGTTCCCCACCAAGGCGCAGTCTGAAGTCGCCTCCCCTCCCAGGTGGCGCATCTGCGGGCGCACGTGCTCATCCACACCGGGGAGAAGCCTTATCCTTGCCCCACCTGCGGGACTCGCTTCCGCCACCTACAGACGCTCAAGAGCCACGTTCGCATCCACACGGGAGAGAAGCCTTACCACGTAAGCACCCGACTGGCCCGGCCAACGCCTAGAATTCCTGCCCGTTTACCTAGCAGCTGGTCCCACAGTCCATAGATCTTTTCGAAATGAACAGTGATTTGGAAGCGTCTGTGTGAATAAGGGGGGGAGGGTTAAAAAGAGGGACAGTGTAGAGTTAGACTCCTTGACTGGACTCTATGCTGGGGCGGGACTAAGGGATGGAAAAACCTTTGCTGAAGAGGTCTGTGCCTAGGCGCTCCACCTCCCCCTAAGGATCTGAGAGCACGTGAAGACTAAAGGGTTTGTCTTTGGCGGACAGCTAGGCAGATGGCCTTTGATCCACTCTTGGAAGGTGGTTGTGAATGCAGAGGGAGCCTAAACCAGCTGTCCTCCCACAGTGCGATCCCTGTGGCCTGCATTTCCGGCACAAAAGTCAACTGCGGCTGCACCTGCGCCAGAAACACGGAGCTGCCACCAACACCAAAGTGCACTACCACATTCTGGGGGGGCCCTAGCCCAGTGCCGGCCCAGGCCCACTTGCTTCCTGGAAGGGAGGACAGCTGCAGACTCAGGCCTGGCTTCCCCGTCAGGCTTGGGCTTGGGGGTGTGCAAGCGCCCCGCCCCCATCAGAAACTGCCACACTTTAATTTCTCACTGGGGAGAGCAGGGGTGGCAGATGCCGGCCTAATCTGCCTCTGTTTTGCTGGTCAAAACCTCTTCCCCACAATCAAAATTATTTCTGAGGAGAGCAAGCTAGAGTTTGAGAGAGGGGTTTCCTTAAGGAAACAGCCCGCTTCTCACTCAGTTATCTGTAAATATAATTTATTTAGGTCTTTGGGTGGCACCAGGGCCTTTGTCCTATTGCATTGCCCACCTCTTTCACAAGTGTGATCAGAAGTGACCTGGAACAGACTGCGGCCACAGCTCTGCGGGCAGAGACTAGCACTTGGCTGTCTCCTTGGGCTTGAGTGCTTTTTAATATTATTGTTGTAACTTTTCTTTTTAGAATTGTTCTTCTATTTGTTTGCTTGTTGGTTTGTTTAAAATGGAGAAAGGGGTTCTCTTTCTTGCCCCTCCAATTCTAGGTCTGGAACCTTTGTTTTTAGGGCAGCTCTGGAAAAACATGGGTTTGAGATTGGGTCAGGAACCCTCTCTGGTGTTGTGGGTATTGTAAGTTGTCTAGCAGGCTAGAACTGGATAGAGACTTTTCCCTCTTCTTCAAGGGACTTTTATGGGAACTTTTATGGTGAGCCTGAAATGGAGGGGAAAATGCCTACTGGAGTCTTGGGGAGTGCCCATCTGGAGGTTCATTGTTCTAGGTGGGAGCTGGCAGTCTCTTCTGCAAGGCAGTCCAGAGTAGTCCCATTAGTCTAGTCACCTAAGATTGGCTCCTGTGTGTCTCTCTTGAAAGAGCCTACCAGGGCTTGAGATAAGCCCATAATCCTCCCACGGGGCTTGATCTTGGCACTGAAATGATCCCTCCTTGAGTGCAAGAGTCTAAGGTGTCAGAGATGATGCGGTTTTTTCTAATTCTGCCCAGCCTCTAAGAATTTCATGACCAAAGGGAAACTTAGGAAATCTTTACCTTGACTAAAACAGTAAAGAGACAAGACAGGTCCTTTACTGCAGAGGCGGCTGGATTTAAATGTTCTTTGGGGTTATCTCTATTTGCCTGAGGCAAACTCCTTCCTTTAGTAGGTTTTTGGACATGTTCAGAAAAGTGTCCAGATTCCAGAAACTTCTTTACCTCTAGAACTGGTGCTGGGTAACTTGCTTACCTTAGAAAAGATGGGTCTGTGACCTAGTCTTCCCATTACTTCTCTGCTCGGAACCAGTGCTTGTACAAGAACATTCCACAGGGGGAAAAAAGAGGCTGTATTCCGTTCTGGGTTTGCTGTAGTTTGGGATTAGAGCCTTAGAAGATTTATAAGGTGATTGTCTGATGGCTCAAGGATACTTCTAGTTAACCAATTATTCAGGTGAGATTAAGAGGTTGGTTGAGGACACAGTCTCTGATATAGGCCTAATAGGTAGAAAATTAGGAATAGGATTGCCTCTTAGCTGAATGGAACATCTGAAATGTGAGATGTTATTCCAAGTCTTGATTAATTTATAATCCTGCCCATTTTCCCTGAGGCCTGTCGGATAACAGGCTGGAGGTAAGCACTTTGATTTTGTGGAGTGGAACTTTCTCAAGATGGATTGGTATTAGTGGCTGGTATGAAAGCTATTCTTCTCCCTCTTCCCTCTTACTCCCTACTATAGAGTTGAAGAAGAAAGAAAACAGAGAATGAACTTTGGTTTTTATTTAGCAGATGGAGAGTGCTTAGGGGTGGAGATATTAGATCTTGCAAGATCAGATTTTTGGAGTAGAAAAGCTTCTCTGTATTGTCTGCTGTGTCCTAGATTCTTCCCTGGAGAAGATCTAGGGACTGAGGTATGCCAGGGGGTGGGGGAAAGAGTGGTTATTCCCTCCTGGATACCATCTGGACTCTGTGCCAACTCCACCACCCATCCCAGCAGAAATTTTAAATGGTCCTTGTTCCCCCAGTCCCTGCCCTTGCCTTCCGGCTCATTGTGTAGGAACCAGTGACTTCATGAAGTTTCTCCGGAGCCACCTGCATCCTGCTGCTCTGAAGTCACTTCCTGCCTGAGGTGTGGAGGCGGCAGGGAGAAACCAGGAAGCCACAGACTTTCAAGAGGCTGGAAGATGCATCTGTGCTGGGGATCTTAATGCTTGGGACACCCCTGACTACCACCAAAGAAAACTGATAGAACTTGGGCCCAGTGAGGACAACAGGTGCTAGAGATGGCAGTGGGAAGGCTACAGAGCCAACATGCTAATCACACCCGTTCCCCGGCATGGTGTCTTAGATCTATCTAGTGCACAATGCTTGCTTCCATCTCACTCTTCCTCTTCCCTGCCTGTGTCCTCGGTGCATAGCTCAGACAGTGGGCAGGGGGTAGATGGTCACTGTAGATGGTCACTAATTCTGATGTTACCTCCCTTTTGGATTTCCTCATCTGTGAAATAAATCCATTAACAAGGTGTCAGTTCTTTCCAACATTTACAGTTTGTAGTTATAAAGGCAAAAAGTAAAAGAAACTAAATAAAATCTTCTTTCACCCCCCACTAAAGTTTATTCTCCCCTGTTAAAAATAAGGCCAGCTAGTATCTCCTGCTATAGGTCAGACCCTAAATTAAGCATTTTAGCACATAGATTTTTCAGTTCAACTTCTCTGACAACCCTAAAATCTGGTAGATACTATTATTGTCACAATTTACAGATAGGAAAACCCAGAGGATCTTGATGAAGTTAATAGTAACAATGCTAAGATGTGATTTGACTTTAAAGTCTGAGCTCTTGGGCCTCCCTGGTGGAGCAGGGATTAAAATCTCAGCACTATCAAGCTATTACCAGTCACTGTGGCGTGAGTCTGATCCCCAGCTGGGGAGCTGACTCACAAGGCGCAGCAGACCTCCTGTCTCGCCCACTGCTCCCCTCAACAGTGTATTTCAGTATGTCTGCCTGTTCTGCTCCCCACTGTCTTTGGTGAATCCTCTCACCCTACCCCCACCCCCCAAACCCCTGTTCTTGTATGCATAAATAAAAATAAATCTTTTTTAAAAGTCTGAGCTCTTAATCATTATACAACCAAACCAACTTCTGCATCTTTGGCATATTCCCCACTAGCCAAAGTTTTAACTTCCCTTACACATTTAAAAAAGAAATTATATGCTCATTTTTATTTCCCATATATAAAATTATAAGGCTCGGTGTGCTTTTAAAAAATATATAGCTTTTCCCCTTTTCTGGGATGCCTCTTTCCCACTGATCCGGGTATGAACCCCTAACCCAAGGTTTCCACATCAGAGTTCTCAGGAGCTTCAATTATGACGAAAGGGGAAGCCAAGATGGAATAGATAGTGGCTGGGGGTTGGGGGCTCCAGTTGGGTCATGATCTGTCTACTCAGTCCATCCCATCATGAGTTAAAAGGGGAGGGGAATGTGATTAGAAAGTGGCTGTTACTAAACAACTATAAACCAGAGACAGTCTATGAGGGTGGAGAGGGGAACAGGCCCAAAACTGGGCGGGACGAGCACACGGGACTATGGTGATAGCACATGGGTAAGTCCACGGGGATTACAACCGCAATGAAAAATGTACAAAATTAAGAATGACGTAAAAAAAAAAAAGTATACACATGGATAGATAAAATTTAAAAATAAACCTAAAAAGCAAAGCGGTTGTTTCTAGAGGGCAGAGAAGAGTCCTGCCCCACTGAAGAAAGACAAGTGGCGCTGGTGGGGTCCCCAGCAAACTCAAGAGAACCCAGTTATTTTTGGTTTCTATGACCTGTAGGCTTCCTGTTAAGGCACAGAAGCTACAGGAACAAGTTCCCATTATAGAAATGAATGCCAGGAGTTCAACAATCTATTCCCCTAGTCTCTTTCCTTGGCTTCTGAACCCCTCAGGGATCTGGGCGTCTAGAGTCCAGTGTGTTAGCGGCCTCCAGCGCGCAGGTCAGGTATAAGTTGGGGCATCCTCTGGATGCACCTCTCCCCACCCCCACCCCCACTCCCTTGAAAGTCTTGGGCCTCCAGATGAGCAAATGGGCGTTTTCCTCTCCTGAAACGGTTAATCTACCCCTGACACCCATCCCCCTACGCTGCACTCCTTACGCGCGGGTATGGGTGCTGAAATCTGGACGAAATGACCCTTGAGATGGACCTCATACAGAGGCGGCCTCCCGGTGGGTTCCGGAGTCACGTGGGGCTGGTTTGGGCTGCGCCCGCACGTCTCCTGCTTGCGCATGCGCCCTACAAATGCATGGTCCTGAGCTAAACTCTAAACCCCGCCCTACTCTTTTGGCCACGCCCCTCCCCTGGGGTCCTGCGTTCTCATTGGGGAATTAATAATAGGAATGTTAACCAGGTCAGGTGCACTTCCAACGACAAGATAATCCACAGGAAGACTGACGGGCCTCGAGGGTGGGGCCCAAACCCAGTGCCGCCCCGGACTTCTAGGCCGATGGTTGGCTGCCGGCCACGTTCTGTCCGCCCCGGCCTGGCCGCTTTGATTAACGGGGCCACGCCCCCCTGCGCTGAAATCTGCTAGCGCAGGCCTGGTCTACCCACCTCGCTCGACCCCCGAGGGGAAAAGCGCAGGCGCCTCGCGCAGCTCTCGGCAGCTTTGAAGCCCTCGTCGGTGCCTTCCTCTCCACCAGCCTTTCCTCCCCGCGGAGTTGACTGGGTGGGCAAAGGTGAAGCGTCCTAAGTCCTGCTCCCGCAGGGACTCTTCGTAGCGGCAGCCCTGTTTCTCCCAGATGGCGCATAGGGCCGAGCCCCCAGACGGGGGCTGGGGCTGGATGGTGGTGCTCTCAGCTTTCTTCCAGTCGGCGCTGGTGTTCGGGGTGCTTCGTTCCTTCGGCGTCTTCTTTGTGGAGTTCGTGGAGGCGTTCGAGGAACCCGCAGCGCGCGTCTCCTGGATCGCTTCCATAGGAATCGCGGTGCAGCAGTTTGGGAGTGAGTGCTGCGCTGGGTCTGGCATCCTGCGACCCTCTGGAAAGGGAGGGAGGGGACAGGGGAGGGAGGTGCTGGAGAAGGACGCCTAAGATCTTTACGCCGAACTCCCTTCTTCCCTTCCTTCCTCCTACGCAGGCCCACTTGGCAGTGCCCTGAGCGCGAAGTTCGGGCCCAGGCCGGTGGTGATGACTGGAGGCGTCTTGGCTGCTCTGGGGATGCTGCTCTCCTCCTTTGCCACCTCCTTGACTCACCTATACCTGAGTATTGGGCTGCTCTCAGGTGAGAAACAGGGCTAAGGCAGGAAAATCAAATACCTGTCTTTGGCTTCTGGACGTTCACCTTCTTTCCTGCTCTTTCCAGAAGACATAGACGAGCTGAGAGAAACTTTGGGCTAGCACCTGTGCCTTGAAGGGAATTCTCAAGAGGAATGATTAAATTGATAAACATGGTGGGGAAATCAGAAAATTGCAAGCCCTGGGGGTAGAGGACTGGAGTGTAAAAGGAAGAATTACTATAAAATGGAGCCAGGTAATTATGACTGTGAAGCATTAGCCAGTTTACAGGAGAAGGGACTTTAGAAGTTTATGCAGCTTGGCCAGAAATGGAAGAGTCCGGGTCTAGCCTTCAAGTTCTGGGCTGGTTATTTTGTAAACATTACCTAAAGCCTGCACAGTCCATCAGGAATATTACTGTGCCCCTCATTTTGCAGATGAGAAGCTGGGAGATTAAGTAAAATATACAAGGTCAATGCTAGGATTGTAACCCAGGTCTGTGCTACATTCTGTTGTAGCATTGGGGTTACCAGATTGCCTGAATTCACTGAGTCCTCCAACCCCCATTTCTTCCTTTCGACAGGCTCTGGCTGGGCCTTGACCTTCACGCCGACGCTTGCCTGCCTGTCCCGGTACTTCTCTCGCCGGCGATCCCTGGCCACAGGGCTGGCACTGACAGGAGTGGGCCTCTCCTCTTTTGCCTTTGCCCCGCTTTTCCAATGGCTGCTCAATCACTATGCCTGGAGAGGGGCTCTACTGCTGGTGTCTGGCCTCTCCCTCCACCTGGTGGCTTGTGGTGCTCTCCTCCGCCCTCTCTTCCTGGCTGAGGACCCTGCCATGGGTGGCCCTGGGACTCAACTCATCTCCCTCCTCCATCATGGCCCCTTTCTCCGTTACACTGTGGCCCTCACCCTGATCAACACTGGCTATTTCATTCCCTACGTGCACCTGGTGGCCCATCTCCGGGACCTGGATTGGAACCCACTGTCTGCTGCCTCCGTACTCTCAGTGGCTGCTATTTCTGACCTTGTGGGGCGTGTGGTTTCTGGGTGGCTAGGGGATGCCATCCCAGGCCCTGTGGCTCGTCTCCTGATGCTCTGGACCACCCTGACTGGGGTGTCACTAGTCCTGTTCTCTGTGGCTCAGGCTCCCACAGCCCTGGTGACCCTGGCTGTGGCTTACGGCTTCACATCAGGGGCGCTGACCCCAGTGGCCTTCTCCGTGCTGCCTGAACTGGTGGGGACTGGAAGGATATACTGTGGCCTGGGACTGGTACAGATGGTAGAGAGCATCGGGGGGCTGCTAGGGGCTCCTCTGTCAGGTAAGGGGAAGAGTTTCTCTATGGGTCTGGGCTGACAGGGGAGGGGGCCATTCACATTATAATATATGTAAATATTGTCCTCTGGTTCAATACAATACAGGGCCAATCTTAGGTGCCCCAAAACATATCATAGGCAGGAAGAAATGGGGACTGTAGGAAGCCTACGAGGTTTCCTACCCTCTGCAGAATACCCACAGCTTGGGTTTTCAGAGGCCCTGACTACATAATCATGCCAGTGTCTACCTTTCCCCTTGGCCCTCTGGGCCCTCAACCCTGGAAACTGAGTCATATGTTCAAAGTTCTCCCAGTTCCAGATTCCAGGACTTTTAAACTCTTAACATTTCCCTCTCAACTATTAACTGTGAAGATGTAGCTGGGAAGGCTACAGTTGCTGACAAGACACTATCTGGATTCCCAAATCTTTACCAGCTGGTTTGGAGGCCTTTCTTAAGGCAGGAAGGTGGTTGAGATGGCCTTTGGAGGTCTCTTGGGAAACGGAAGTTCTCAAGCTCACCATCCTTACACCACCTACCTTGGCAGTCTCAACTCCTCCAGGATGACGGGTTACAGATTATTTTGATCCCTCCACCCAAAAATATGTGTGATTTACAGTGCTGGCAAACATCACACATGTATTACTTTTTTCTTTCTTCTACCTAGGCTACCTCCGGGATGTGACAGGCAACTACACCACTTCTTTTGTTGTGGCTGGGGCCTTTCTTCTTGCAGGGAGTGGAGTTCTCATCACCCTGCCCCACTTCTTCTGCTCCTCAGCTTCTACCCCCAAACCCTCGAATCTTGTAACAGATGGACTAGATACCAGAGTCCCCTTGCCCAAGGAGGGCCTGGGTGAGGAATAAAGTCCAAGAAGGGGCAGGCAGACCGAGAAGCCCAGAGTTTATAGCTCTACGTCTTCTGCTCCTGCCGCATGTTAGTGCCCACAAAACCGCAGTGCCTTAAGCTTCTTGATCTGCCTCCTCAGAGCAGGCTAGGAGCTCCTGCAGTGTACATGCCAGCCCTTTGTATTTTGTTGAGGGTTCCTATCTCTTCTTTGTTGCCACAACCTCTTCTGAAGGATTCAGGAGCTTAGCTTGCTCCACTGAACTGTGAATCAACTATGAAAATCAAAAGCCAAGAGACTTCTCATATTTTATATATGATCTTCAGTGTTGCCTGATGAGTTTCTTCTCTGAAGACATAGCTGGGAAAGAGGGATGCCCCTCTGAGATAAAACTGACTAAGAAAACTGGATAATACTCAGAACCTCAAAATAGCTGGGGCCCATAAGCTGGGGTTGACAAAATGGGGTCATGGCTGGGGAGTGGAAGGGAGGGATCCAGGAGCTCTGGTGACCCAGAGCATTTCAAGCCTGAGTCTACTCTCTGGACCATATTCCTCCCACTTGTCCACCAACCTCTTTCGTACTACACCCATGACTTAGAAAAGAGATCAGAAGAATGATGGGACACGCTAGTTTGGGCAAGGGAAGCTGATGCTGACATAGAGCTGAGGAGTGGTCTAGGATGTTCCCCTCCAGCCAGCTGAGTGAGCAAGATGAAGGAAAAGGTTATCTGGGTGTTCGAGTGAGGAAAACCAGGGTGGGGAAGAAACACCCACAGTCCCCCCCCCCCCAATCCTAGCAATAAACTTTAACTGACAGGCAGACAGCTTCTCAGAGTCCTGTTGTGATGAGAATTCAAAGAGTAATGGACTGGTCACACAGACATGTGCCCCCCCCCTCCCCCTCCCCCAAAGCTTAGAGGAATCCTGTTCCTTTCAGGCAACCTTTGGGATATCTTAAGTAGAATGTTTTTAGTGTACCAGGTTGACTAGCCATTGGAACTTGCAGGTAAATGGATAGAAATTCTTTATTGGAGGAGGGGCTCCAACAAGAAAAGGGTCAACAAGTGGTGTCCTGAGTAGGCTGAGGGCCCCCCGGGGTGACAAGGGCAACCTGAGGAACAGGAAGCAGCTCCCCTCTCTCAGGGGGAGGGGTGACTGGACGAGAGGCAGGTCGGCAGGAGGGCAGCGCCCTGGGCAGGCCCATATAGACGAAGCTGCCAGAAAGGATGAAAGAGCTGCACACGAGGAAGGAGGCCGTGAAGTCCCCTGTCTCATCCCGCAGAAAGCCTGAGAGGAAGGGTAAAGGGATTTAGAGAGTTCGGACGCTAGGGGCAGAGGACAGTTGCCAGTAGATCTGTAAGCCTAAGGCTCTGGCCCTTACCTGACAGGGGAGGTCCTAGAAGCCCCCCGAGGCTCATCAGCATCATCACCAACCCGGTGGCCTGTACGACACCTCCGATGCCCACTAGCCCAGGGAGCACACCGAAAACCAGCGGGGCATAACTTCCAGCGCTCAATCCGTAGGCCCCAGCCGCGGCCAACAGGGGGCCCCCCCAGCCCGCAGGGCTTCCCATGGCGGGCACCAGTCCCACCGCCAGCAGCCCCACCCCGGTCAGAGCCCCGAAGACCGCCAGCAGCCGCGGGAGGGGCACCCAGCCCTGGTCTGCCAGCCACCCGCAGACCAGCCGAGCTCCGGCATCCCCCACTGCAGCCACCGCCACCACCAGTGCTGCTCCGTACCCCTCCAAGCCCCGGTCTAAAGCGTGAGGCGCCAAGTGCACGTAAGGGACGAAGTACCCGCCCCCCACCAGGGCCGTGCCCAGAGCAAACACTAAGAAGGCCCTGCGCGTGAACAGACCCAGGCCAAGGGCAGCCAAGGGCCCGCGTGGTGGGGCCGGGGGATCGCCAAGCAGCGCCAGGGGGCGCAACAGGGCGCCACAGGGGGTGAGGTGGAGGGTGATGGCGCCAAGAAGAAGCAGGGCGCCCCGCCAGCCGTAAGTATCAAGGAGGAGCTGCAAGGTGGGCGCCAGGAGCAGCGAGGAGGCCCCGTTGCCCGTTAGTGCCAGCCCCACGGCCAAGACTCGACGGCGGGAGAAGTAACGGGAGAGGGTACCGAGGGCGGGGGCGAACACGAGCGCCCAGCCGGAGCCTGCGGAAGGACAGAACTGGGTGAGGACGGGCAAAGCTGCCCCCGCAATCCCAGCCCTGCCCCTCGCCCGAGCCTCCGCGCCTTTGGCCTCCAGCCCCGACCAGCTTCTCTCTCCACCACCACCCCCGCAAGGGCCCGTTGTCCCTCTCCCCTCACCAGCAAGGAGGCCCAGGCCAAGGTACAGGTGCAGAAGACTGCCGGCGAAAGCCGAGAAGATGAAGCCGATGGAGGTGAGGACGCCCCCAACCATCACCACCGGGCGCGCCCCCCAGCGGGTGCTCAGGGCGCTGCCCACAGGGCCTAGAAGGGGGCGGGGTCAATACAAGACACGCCCCTGGACCCCCGCTCTCGCCCCAACACTGCTCATTGGCTGTTTTCCTGGCCTGAAATGCCTCCTACAGCCTAAAAGCGCCTCCCCTCGACATCCACGACCACTCTTCCAGATCGGCAGTTCTCTGGTTAACGGATAATCGGGCGGATACCCGACCGGTATGCTCACAGCCCCTCCACCCCCGTTCCTGCCTCCCACCTCGGGGCCCCCCTCACTGGCTGCCTGCTGCACGGCCAGGGCCAGGGCGCTGACCCACGCAGTGTCCTGAGCATTTCGGTCAAAGTGCTCCGCGAGGTCAGGGAGGACAAGGCCCAGAGAGCGCAACAGCCCGTAGGAGAGCCCATTCACCAGGAAGGCTGCGGCCGCCACTACCCAGCCCCAGCCCCCGTCCGGGGGTCCGGCCGGCTTGGGGGTCATCGCCACCTGGGGAGGGGAACACCTGTGAATGAAGTCTCCACGTCGGTGCCTCCTCTAGGGACCTGGCATCCCTGAGATCCAGCTCTGGCTGCTTGGTCAAGGTGGGCACGTCACCTTGAGCAAGAGAGGGCGGGGGTGGGGAGGGGTGGAAGCCGGGACCGGGCCCAGGATCCGCGCAAATTATGGGGATTCCCCCTCCCACACGCCCCTTTCCCCCTTACCCGACCTCTCCGGGCGGTGGGGGGGAGGGGAAGGGCGAGGAAAGGCTCGGCTGGGTTTTCTCCCCGCTTCCCCAGCGGGCGGGGCCCCAGTGGGGAGCGAGTGCAGAGATGGAGCCCAACTTGGACGGGCTCTCTCAGTAAACAGAGATCACCACAGGGGGCCTGAGCCACCTGGGAGACTGGGGGTACGGAGGGCGGGGGCGAAATGAGACAGCCAATCCGCCCAGCGGCGGGTGAGGCCAGAAGCTGTGTCCCACGGGGATTGAATTATACACCCCCAACCCGAGGAAGGGAGCGGCGAGGAATGAATGCTGCCCCACCCCGCTAGGCTCACACCCACGCACCTGCCCGCAGCTCGCAGCTCGAGGAGGAGGGGTGCGAAGGTAATCCCCAGCAAGCCCCAGGTCGGGAGGTGAGGTACGAAAATATGGGTGGTAACCCATATGGGTGGTAACCCAAAACTTGAGGGTTACAGTAGTTCGTGCCCTGGAGGACTCGGTAAATCTCGGATCTCAAATCACAGACCTCCACCGAATAATTGCTCCCTGCTCATCAATAATATGCCCAGAGGCGCCGCCAGGAAAGAAGAGGGCTCCCTTATTATGGGGAACTGCACATGCCAGGCACATTTCACACCTGTCTCTTGTCTCTTTTCACCTTCACAATAACCCTAAGAAGGTGGCATCTCCATTTTGTAGAAGTGACCGAAGTTTTAAGCGAGTTGCCTAAAATCGAACTGCTTTTTAAAATGGTGGATCTCGATTTAAGGTCTGCCCAACTGCAGGACCATACCAGGAAAAAGAACGTTGGACTGAAGTTGCCACAAGTCGCTCTGCAACAGTTAAAGGGAACGGACAGAAGCGACTGATGCCAACTTGCCTGAAAATGGCACAGTATATGATTCTAAGACCTGAGAATAGAAGGGATCCTTGCGATCAGAATCACAGAAGATTTAAGTTAGACTTTTAAAAACAAAGCAAGAAGTCAGAGACTTGACCCAAGTATTGATTTCTTGAAGAGTTTTATAAAAATACTCTTAACAGTAGGATTAAGGTTGCTTTCCTTCAGCTGTTTGAATCAAGAGATGTTATCTTTGAATTAATTACTAAGCAATATAGAAAATTTTGTGACTTACAGTTTGGAGCATGCGTCAGCTCAAGGCCACTTGATGGCAGTGTTTCCTAAATGTTGACAAAGTGTCTGTAAATAAAAGAAAAACCGCTTCTGTAGTGAAACTGTAAACCTTACAAACAAAGCATGACCTTCAGTCGCTCCCCAACAACTATAAGAGGAAAAAAAAATCAAGCTACTTTGTGTCTGAGACCTTTCGCGGTCAAAAGCCGACCCTGGCTATCTTCTCTCTCATCTACACCCTTCTGTCAGCTGTCAGCTTCTTACCTGCGCCATGACCATGCCTAGCATTTTCTCACTCCTGGATTTTTGCTAACTCATAACTTTTTGTTTGAAATGCCCCAGTTGGGGTACAGGAGTCCATAAAGTTTTGCGGTCCTAACGCGTACAGCCTAGGAAAGTGACCCCACCGGTTTCCCTAGTCTGGGGTGCTATTGTGAAAGGCACCTGGGAGGTGGAGCCAGCAGGCCCTTAGCCATAGGAGAGCAGGCAGCCCACTTTCCAAGATGGCTGGCAAGGACTCTGCTCCAAAATGAATGAAGCCAACTAAGCAATTCCCTCCTCCTCTGTAAGTAAGTTAAGTAAGAATGCGGAGCAAAGAGGGACTGGTCCCTCTAAATCTGGAAACTGTTCAGAGTGACGCTGAGCACCTCTACAGGATATCTGTGACCCCCAGAGGCTTCCCGGAGTCTGGGGAGGGGTGATTGATTGTGAAGGAGCATAGTCAACCTTTCAGATGTTCCCTATATTCTTCACCAAAATTACTGTTACTGGAAAATTTCATCTTCTTTGCCTGCTACATGCCAGCAAAGCCAAAAATGGCAAATGACAGAGGTAGAATCTTCAACGTGTGCTTTTAATAGCTTTGCCAGCAAATCTGAGAAGGACCAAGCATCATGCTCCCAAAACTGATGGAGGTTATGAGTAGAAAAGTTAGAAGGGTGCAGGGCAGTGGGGTCTCCATTGTGGGAGGGACTGCTAGAGGACTGCAGGGTAGTCCAGCTTTATCACTGACTTTGTTTTTCTCAGGTCCGGGGGTACCTGGTTATGGAGGGGAGAAGGAGGTAGTTTATAAGAGGCCCTTTGGTGCTCTTTTAAGATAGGAGGCAACTTAAGCCCAGAGTCAGGCTCCCACAAAGGAGATAAGGATAAAAGGGATTAACATAGTTATTAACCCCTCTATAGAAATTAAGCGTCCTTAGGTGCCAACTTCTGGAGCAAGTATCAGAATGCCACGGAGTGTCACCCAGGCCCCTGCAGGAGAGGTGGCCTATGGAGATGCCGGGCCATTGTAGGGAATATGGTCCTTACATAGCAGCCTACTCATGGGCCTCCCTGGTGGCTCAAGGGGTTAAACCTCAGTACTATGAAGCTATCTGCAGCCCCAGTTTGAGCTCAATCCCCAGTCAGGGAGCTGAACCACATGGTACAGCAGGCCTTTCCTGACAGCTCTTGTCCTCTCTTGTCTCTTCCACCGCTTCCTTCAGCAGTGTATTTCAGTCATTGTGTCTGTTCTGCTCCCTACTATCTGCTGAATCCCCTCAAACCCTCCACAGCCCCCAAACCCCCTCCTCTGGCCTATACCCTAGCTTTTATATGTATAAATAAACAAATCTTTTTTAAAAAATCAACCTAGTCACATCCTAGAAGTAATTAAGTTAACACAAGTTAACAACTCCACAAAAGAATGAGCCCCTCCCAAAAAGAAGACTGTGTCAGTGCACGTCCTGCACCTGGACGGGGCAGCAGCCTCCTGCCCACCTGTGCCCTGTGGCCTGTGACCGTGCAGGCGCTTCTCTTCACTCACCTCCTCCCTTTGCAAAACAGCAGAGACAGCTCTCCCCAGGCCACCCGCTGTGGCTGTGCAGGCCTCTCTTGGCAAACCTGCCCCTTTGGGGGCAGCTCTTCTGCCCACTTGTGTCTGTGCAAGCATGCTTTACCTTTACCTCCTTTTTACAATAAACATGCCCTTTTGGATACGGCTAACATCTCTGTTTCATGGAGAAACTCCCCTGGAAACTCGTCAGTGCTGCTTGATTTGGAAACTATATTCTTTGCTGAAAGGGGCGTTCAGGTGAAAATTTTCTCTGAACCCAACATTCAAAACTGGATTTAAACAAAGACAGTTATAGTGATTTAAACAAAGACAGTTAATTATCTGTGAGGGGGCCTTCATCCAGGCATCTAACAACTTGCTGAGTTTTATGGTGTCCTGTATCCCTGCTTGCTCCTCTGCTGGCATCTGGACTTAGAGCACTTCATTCCTCCTGGGGCAGCTCAGTCTCCAGGTGCCTCGTGGATTGGGAACTTGGAGCAAACAGGCCACAATCACCTGTAACAGGGTGGTCTGCAGGCCCAACCCGGAAGGGTGGAGATAAGCAGGGAGGAGGAGAAACTGGAGGAAGAGGAGAAGCTGGAGAAGGGAGGAAGCAGGATGGGGAGTGGGAAGGAGACCTGAGGGAGGTACATGAAGCAGAGAGACCTGTGAAGGAGCAGTTCTTGCTTTTCGGCCTTGGACTGGTTGAAACAGTTATGGGTGAGAGACCCGTGGGGAGGTTAACAATGGCAGCTTTTATCTTTATTTTGATTTTGCTCTTTTCCTTTCAGACTTGTCTGGCTGTTTCTGACCCTTTTCCACGGGTCCCTGCCAGAACGTGCTTTAGAGACTTGTGGCGGGCTTTTGGGCCTCAGTGGCCTTGCTTTGGGCCAACCCTGTTTGCTGAATACTCACCCATGAAGGACAGATAACTTCGGGTGCTTGATTTGGAAGTTATATTCGTTGTCTTTTCTTTATTGTACACTAATTATATTAAAGTTTCTTTCCATTAAAGACCTTACACACTAGAGTATGCTTTGTCTTGATGTGGCAGTTGGCAGAACATATTTAGAGTGGGCAAGTTTGGGGTTCTGGGTTGCCCCTCTTCCTGCTCTGTAACAAAACAATGTGTGTGCGTGCAGATTGTCAAACTTTTCATGGTGCTCTTTTCATCCTCCTCCCTAGCTATCCTCCCCACTGTTCCCATCACTCTCCACCTTTTGCTCATGGAGCTAACATAGAATGGATTCCCAAGCTAGACTTCCTGGGTTTGAATCTCAACTTTGCCATTTATTAGCCACTTGATTGTGAGCAAACTAATCAACCTCTCTGTGCCTTCATTTCTTCTTCTCTAAAATGGGGCCAGAAACAGGTTGTTATGAGTCACTTGTGTAAACACATCTGGCTCTGTCTACTTTCTCAGGGTCAAAGTCCCACATAGTTCTCAGTAGAACGATGTGGGTCCCACGTTGTGGTGGCTACAAACAAGTGAAATGGAATTATTTTCTTTATGATGTTTTCTTAATGTTCTCCAAAGTTTGTGAGAAAATGATGGCCTCTTTTTTACTCTAAAATGAGAAGAAAGGAGTCAAAATAAGTTTGTTCATTAGCTCCTTCATACAAAATATTTATAAACACCTACCATGCCAGATGCTAGGCTTAGGGCTGGGAACACAAATATGAATGATACCATTTCTCCCCTCCAAGTCCCCACAATCAAACTAGAGAAAAAGTGAAGTAAAGAAATCTCAATCCAAGGAGAGGGACACAGACAACCCAGAATGGTGTATGGGAAGAACGGATTCATTCTGCTGGGACCTACTGGGGAAGCTTCACAGAAATGGAG